ACTTTATTTCTGCGACATCATTAAAGCTCATGTTTGAAATTAGGATTAGCTTTTTATATTTTCCATTTGTATGTCCATGTTGTTTTTAATCCACATAATAAGTCTTTAAAATTGAAACACTTGCCGGCAGTGTTTTGAGCTCTGTCTTAATGTTTAAATTACTTCTACTAAAATTAAAAAAGTTATGAAATCTCAGTTTTGAAAACAATTAGTCATTTCGGCTTTATGGAGTTTTGAGCGAGCCACTCCACACACTTTTTATTATTTTAACTTCAAATAATCCAATAAGACCAGTTGAAGTGGACAGAAAGGCAAATCTTCTTCAGATATGAAAGGTCTAAATTAAAAAGTGTTGCTCATATTTTTTGAGTATAAAGTGCTGCCAACTTATGATAGCATTGGAAGTGAAATAAAGATATAAAGTTGCTCAAAATTATATTACAGTGGACAATTTCCTTCACATTCACTTAATAGTTCCTATTTTATAAATGTATAATGTCTCTGGTTTTACTTAGGCATAGCCGTACTTGAAGGTCCCATGTATGCAGTAGGAGGCCACGATGGGTGGAGCTATCTCAACACAGTGGAGCGTTGGGATCCACAGGCCAGGCAGTGGAACTATGTTGCCAGCATGTCGACTCCACGAAGCACCATGGGAGTAACAGCGCTCAACGGAAAGTATGTTGTGCTTCACTATTTTCACCTCCCCCTTTCCAACAATTTTGTTTTTTTAGTTTCTTTTCTTTTACTTAGAATTTTACAGGATATTTTATAACAATGTCCTGCAATCAAAGTTTACTATGATTTATCATCATAGCAATACCTCTGTGGCCCTTTTCATACAGTATGCACTAAAATAACATTCCTGTGCAGATACTGTATACCTATTTAATTGTGCACTCTATGCAATTGAATTTTGCTTGCCAAATATCCCAGCATGCTTTGTTTTGGGGAAAAGAAGACAAATGACCCAAAAACCAAAGGGTTTAATAGCTGAACTTGCATTAGTCCAAAAACAAAAGATATTAGGACTCAATGAGTTTCTTTGTGGTTGAAGTGAGGTATCCCACCAGCTTATGCTGTTCTAATAAAGGGTAATGCATACTTTCAAATAGACTGTAGAAGCAATGGAAAAAAATCTATCTTTAAAATAAAAATGACGCTGCATTGAAAATACTTTCAATACACACATCCGCTAAAAAACCCAAGATATATACGCTCATCCTTAATCACTATTCAGTGTCAAAGTTATTTTAGCAGTTTTGTCAAAAATAGATAGCAGGAAACAGCTTCAGTAACATCTATGCTCTTGTGATAGGGCTGTGAATAATGGCAAACACTGATGTAATCTTTCTAAAGAAGAACACTCTGAGGGAATCAGCCTTGGACTAAGAAAAAGAAAAAACTATGTTTTACATTTCTATCAATCTGTTATGTGTCTCACTTATCAAAGCTTCTTCGAACACATTTTGGAGAACCATATGTCAGTGTTGTAATGCTTTTCCTCAGGCTGTTTGCTGTTGGTGGGCGAGATGGCAGCTCGTGCTTGAGGTCGATGGAGTGTTTTGATCCACACACCAACAAATGGAGCATGTGTGCACCAATGTCCAAGAGGAGAGGAGGTGTGGGAGTAGCCATGTACAACAACTTCCTGTATGCTGTGGGTGGACATGACGCCCCCGCTTCCAACCACTGTTCCAGACTCTCTGACTGTGTTGAGAGGTCAGTGAATGCTTTAGAAACACAATGCTGTTGTTTGATATTTAGTCCTACCTCATCAAAATAGAGGGAAGCTGCCATTGATCCCCACCCTGTTCCTGCATTTTGTTTAAGACATAGTTGCAAATGTATGCATTTGTGGACATCAGATTTCACATATGGTTCATTCTGTGGAGTTTGGCTCCCTCTAGAGGCCGAAATGCTCAATCAAAATACCTGTTTGAATATCGGAGCATATTTAACATTGATACATGATACATATAATCCTTTGATTTTTTTTTTGTATCTGCTGAAGATATTTCAAACGAATCTCCTGAGTTTATTAAAAATTATATATATATATATTTTTTAGTCAAGTCATATAATTGGTTAGAAATTCATTGTGACATTTTTATGAAAAAGTGAAATACCTGTTTTCCTCCTAATGCCAACAATATTCCACAACTGACCTCCAAGAAAAGACGAAAATCTAAATTTTAACACTTCTTTTTAATGTTAATTAATAGTTATAATAAACTTGAAAATTGTGGTAAAAGAGTCTATAGTTGTCCATAGTATGTTTATCACCATTCTTGATAAAAAGGGATTCCCTTTTGCTGTCATCTGGAAAGATTCCATATGAATCGAAATATCAAATATATCCGCCAGAGGCTAAGCAGTCAGATCAATAACTGTTTTGATGATTTCCATGTCTATACGATTTATATCAGTTGATCTTATTGATTTTTACCAATCTGAATATGATCTTCCTGTCACCCCTTCAGACGTCTATCTATTTATCTGTTTTTCCAGAGATTTAAGCTGAAAGGGCAGATAACTCAGATAATCTCAACTGACTGCATTTTCCAATTACAGATATGATCCAAAGACGGACACATGGACCACTGTGTCCTCTCTCAGCGTCCCCCGAGATGCAGTAGGAGTGTGCTTGCTGGGTGACCGGCTCTATGCAGTTGGCGGGTATGACGGCCAGTCATATCTCAAAACTGTTGAGTCCTACGATGCACAAAACAACGAGTGGACAGAGGTAATGGCAGCCATTCATCATAAATCATTGTAGTTTATGGAGAGCGTCGTAATGATTATTATTCTACAGTTTAGCTTTAGTTTTTATTCAGGACTCTTTTCTGTATGTGCTGCTCTTTATGGTTTACGTCATATTGACTTTGGATAATTTGGTCTATAATTTTTTAATATTTTACACTGTATCTCCTCTTACCTTCAAAACACAATTACTGTTATTTGCTCATAAACAGGTTTTATGTACTTTATTTTCTATCTTTATACTGTATCTTTGTCTTTAATTTTCTTATTACTTCCTGGTTTTGCCTTCACAGACTTTTTTTGTATTTCTCACTATGTTTGAAAATTGTCATAAGATTCAGCATGGAAGGGGCAGTGCAGTAATCTCTTAATTTGATTATATATACTTGTACTAAATGTGCTAAATGTAATCTCGGTTTTTTAAAGTGACCCATACTGATTATAGATATGAACATGGTTAAAGATCAGTTGAGGGAGCTTAATATTAGGCTGATCAAAAGGAAGGCTTCTGGCAGCTTACCTATAAATGTAAGATAAAGGTCAAAATACCAGTGAAAACATCAACAAAAGCTCAGCACTTGTAATAAAAAAGGCTTAATTGCTTTGGTTTTCTATTAGATATTGAAGAAGGGATCAAGAATGTTCAGTATGCCATTTTTAGAATTATAACAGCTAACAACTTTAAGAATTAACCCTTTTTCACTTTATGGCATTAAACTTTTCATCAAAACCTGTGCATACAATGGTATTAAATATGAGTCACTGCATACTTTTTATAGTTGATAATTTAATTTCTACTTTAAATACCAAAGAAAAACTTTATTATGCTTAAAACTTGATTCAAATGTAACTATGCAGATATAAATACTGTAAAGTATCAAAAAAGTGGGCACACCTTCACATTTTTCTTCCAATTTAAATTATCTATGGTATTGCTTATGTAGGGTAGTTAGTTGGTCAGCATGTCAGTGCTCAGACCATATGCCACACACTGCATCAGATTGGTCTGAAGAGCTGTCCTTAGTGAAGGAAGCTCCATTAAAAAAAAAAGAAAAGAAAAGAAATCCCCAAAACTATTTGCTGAAGACATGCAGACTGAGGACCTGGTTTACTGACACCATGACCTGGTGAGATCAATATAAACCCTGCTAGCTTTGGGGAGCAACAATTCATTTACAATAAATGAAGTTAGGGGACAACCTGTGAAGCTTTATTGAATTCCACACCTAAGAGACTAGTCTAGGAAATCAGTGGGGGTTACACTAAATATTCACTCCGAGCAATTTAGAAATTTACCAAGAAAGTACCCAAAAAATTGTACTTAATTAACATTAGTACTACACTTGAAAAAATGTAAAGTCATTTTTTCTTTAAAAAAGTGCATTTTTTCTTGTATTGAGGAAGCAAGTAAGACAATTTGCCAATGGAACAAGATGATTTCAATTTAAAATAGGAAAAAACAATTACATTGTCTTGTCTCAAGTGGATATTATCTAATTACCTTATTTTAAGAGAGAAAATACTAATAAGGGTAAATACACTTTTTTTTTTTTTTTTTACAATTTATTACAAACAATTCTACAATTTTTTTTACATATTTCTAGATCCTTTTTCCAGTGTACTTCATCATAATCTATTTGTTAAGAAGGTTACTCGAGTACTGAGTGACTGATCTACTTACTAGCCATGGTCACGACAGCTGATTTAATATTTTGCAAAATGATGTAGAACTGAAGAAAAAAATGAAGGGATATGCAAATTATGAGGTTTCAAAAAATAAAATAATAAAAATAACTTATTAATATATAGTAATTACAAAAATGAGATAGAATGAACACTCTTCAAAATATTTTTTAGCAGACTCAGCAAATGGAAAATAACATTTATCCAATAAGGCTTGAGTTAAAAAAAAATAACAGTGTGTCCCTCTAAGGTTACTATGTTTTTTAAACATGCCTGTACAGTGAAAGTTAAGAGAAGTTAGAAAAATCCAGAAGTTTTACTCATATAGGAGTTGAGTTTTTATTCAAGTAAAGGTAAAAAGTAAAATGCTGCTAGACCACTCCTAAACTTTTTTTCCCAAACAGTCATTTGAGTAAATGTAACTGTTTAAATGTAGCTGAATAGATGTACCTGAATTAAATGTAACTATTTCCTACCCTCCTCTTTTATTTAGTTAGTAATTTAGATATTATGTTGAGTTGATTTAAGGTGATAGCAAATAAAATGTTATACAAGCCGTACACTGACTTCACATTACATAAAGGGGTTGCGATTTCATTGGCAACCCAAGAGAAGACATTATATTTTTTTTATACAAATATGAAGGGTGTTTTTACTGTTGTGAGTTACTGTATGTTTTGTTTAGAAGTCATTTTATAACTGATCATTATAAAAAATTCCTCATCACCTATATTACAATAGGTATGTTTTCTCTTATCTAAAAACCACTTAATTTTTAAGTATAGAAATTTCTAACTTATATCATAGGTTTTGAAATGGTTAATAGGGAAAAAAAAAATCACAAAAGCTAATGCTAAGGTGCATAATGTAACCTTTAAATGACTCAACTTGAATAGTGTGCACTGCAGTCATTAAGTAAGATTAAGCTTTGGTTAAAATCCTGATTTTTTTTCCACTGAAACACATGAATATTTCATATTTTTTACTTGGTTGTTTTTTTTCTCTCTTTTTGAATGTTATTTTTTTTCCAGCCTTGGCAGCCAAACCTTCATCTCTGCAACAAATGAAACAGGAGTTTTTGAAAGGAGAATGATGAAAAGCTGCGTGTTAACCTCTCTGTCTTCCTGTAGGAGGTCCCCCTTAACATCGGAAGGGCAGGCGCCTGCGTGGTGGTGGTGAAGCTGCCGTGAGGATCTCAGTTCACAACAACACAGAGAGGCCTAAATGAAAGAGCGGCAAAGTGGAGTGGACAAACAAAGCAGCAGATTGAGGACACATCCTTTGAGGGATGAATTATCACATTTTTTTTTTCTTTAACTTGGCCGTCCAGATCTTTCATTGGGAAACACAGGCAAAGGCTTTTCCATAAACCATTGTTTCCGTCATTAGTTTTGTCTGCCCAGTGGAAAGGACTAGAAGGATTGCGATGGCCAGCACATTCCCCACATTCTCAACCGATTAAGAACTTTGCCAAAAAACAAAGCGTACGGGCGCCAAGGCTTCTAAAAGCTGACTTGAATGTCCTCAAATTTTTAATGTAACATTGAACAAATGAATAAATTCTGTAAGTTTACAAATACACACAAGCATTTCTTATCCGTGCCATCTTAGACAGTATATTTTTAGGGGTTTATTATGTCCCTTTATAGCTGAGACAACTATTCTTACAGAGATTTAACTATAAATTGGTGTTTTTTTACAAGATCAGTCTGAAGTGATTGTTTCTCCTTGGTGATGAAGACTACTGTGATTGAAACTGAAGGTGGAGAGGTTAGTACAGGAATGAAATGTATGTTATTTGCACCTGTAGCAACAGAACACCAAAGCCATTTATTTCTTTAAGACATTGTTTTGCTCATTAAATAAAGGTTTACAAATTTGTGAATCAAAAAAAAATATATCATATTGATATTTCATGTTGCTGTACAGATTTTTGTTCTAAAACTGCATTTGTGTTTGTAGATTCATGCCTAAAACAATGCTGTTTTTATTCATGAACCATTTAGCTGAGCTCTAAACATTTTCAGACTTATCTTTTTTTCTACAACTGCATTTGGATGTCTTGCTAAAAGAAACAAAATTGTTAGCCTGTTCACACTAAACTGTAACTGGAACTACAATTGTGACTAATTTTGGGGCCAAGTGCTATTTTTTCCATCTTTTGGACCTAATTTTGTACAGCATGCAAGCCAATAAAATAACTTCGGTTTTCTTTGCATGAATTAGAAGTGTGGCCTCAGTACTGGAAGATTTTCCATGTTTTCTTGTTCGGCTTTTCATAAACAAATCTGAGTCCATAACTAAACAGACTTCGGCTCCAACTTTGACATCTGCATTAATCTGTTTTTGTCTTCGCTGCCACATTTTCTTCTTCAATCAAACAAGCATGTTTGGGGATATTTCTGTTTTATTCCTCTGTCAACAAAGAAGACCAAATGCTTCTACTTGCCTTTTTTGTTTACTTATTTACTTTTTAAAATGCTATTCCTCTCCAACTTCCCTCTGATTGTTTGGTAAGATTTGAATCGCTTTTACTGACAAAACAGTGGACTGTCTGTCCAAACATAAAGGTTTGAGTCATAATTCTCTGTTGTGTCTTAAACACACAAAACTCTTGACACATGTCAGTAAAACAGACCTTTTCCTCCTATATTTCTCTCTACTTCTGTTTCTCTATAGATTTATGTCAGAAAACCTATTTCTCATCAAAGAATTTATCATAAATAAAAAATGTCCACACACAGAATCAAACTTCAACCAATAAGTAATACCATCAAGATAAGTATTATGTAAAAATAAAATGATTAAGTACATTCTTTAAACCTTAAACTGTCAATGGAAAAATCTTTTTTGGCATTTTAAAATCTACACCTTTCTTCTAACTGCTGATCATTTCCAGTGGCGGATTTAGGAAATTTGAAGCCCTAGGCAAAGGCAGGCATGGGGCCCTCTAAAATTGAGAAGACAACACATAAAACAGATCCATTATACAGAAATTTTAATAGAACAGACATACATCAGTTGTTCTAGATTTTTGTCCCCCTCTTCTTGTCACTTCTCTGGTTCTTTTCCCTCTCTATGTTTTGTACTCAGCTGACTTTTCATGCTGTCTCATAAGGAATGAAATATTTTTCCAAACACTAAGCTCACATAGCCGATTGTTCCTTCCTGTGTTTCCAAAAAGGCGACTGGAAAAGTAAATAACGCAGTCCTTCTTTTTACTGTAGACAAGCCATGGTCTGCTTATCTGTTCTCCATATTTCCTTTGGATGAAATAATAGCAGCAAGAGAAGGAGGCGGAGTTACGAATGTACTTGCTTTGGAGAGCAGAGTTTGGTGTCTTTATATGTTGTCCCCAAAGCCTCCAGTAGCAGAAAAAAGTCACTAGATTTAGCACTAGGCGTTTTTTTTTTATTTCAAATTGGGGTCTGAGGGGTCTGAAAAGTCACTAAATATAGTGCTAAAAGCGCTAAGTTGGCAACACTGCTCTTCGCACTGTTTGTTATCCAATGGTTTGCTGCTGTCTGTTTGGACCTTTCTGAACATGTGTAGCAAATGGACTGATCCAATTTGGTGGACACTGTAGGGGTGTGTGGGGTGGGGTTGGGGGGTTGGTTGAGACATACTTGATATTATAAGCGTTCTGATGGCATTTTAGCAAAATGATTTTTTATCAAAAAGATAATTAATGTGCACAAATAAGGAATGGTGTATTAACCATACATGAGTTTAATAAGGCCGCAGGGAACTTGGGGCCCTAGGCAACTGCTTAATATTGCCTAATAGTAATCCCCCCTTGATCATTCCTCTTTAGTTTCTTCCTGATATTTTAACAATGTCTCCTTGTCAATGATATCCAGATGTATGATTTTGGAAGGTTTCCACCTGATCCTTATCTTCTTCCCCAAAATCCAAAATCTTTACCAGATTCATGCTGGTGCCTCTGAAACAAAGATTTTCCTTACAGTTAGAAGAAACATGTTAGAAAATTAGTTTTTTTTTTTTATTCATATCTGTCAGAGGTGTAAAAAATGAGCATATCTGTAACCTACATGTCTTTTTTGCAAAATCACCATAAACTTACATGTAATCGACAAGTAAAAAACATTTGAATAACTTAACGGAACCTCATATGAGCCCTTTAAACAAAAAAAAAAATCCACATTGACATCATGTATATGTGAAGCAATGCCTTGAACCAACATGCATCAGTATTCCAAGACTGCAGCCTTCACAAGCGCTAGGTGTCTTTCTAAAGGCATTCATTTTTCCTGAGTTTTTGAGACAAATCCACTGTATGAGATTCCAATCAAAAAAGCTATCCTACATTTACTGCACAGGCAGGTGGCTGTACCATTGCTGAACATGTTGAGATCATCAGAAGTACATCAACAAGAGTCAGCCATATTAAAGTGAACATTGTTTCCAAATACCTGCAAATTTTGTGCTACTGATGACAGAGCCTTAATCTACGGCAAAGGATCCCTGAAAATATCTTGCTTGTATAGATGATAAATAATAAAGATAACACAAAAAATGTATAATAGATCCTACAAAAAGCAGTGAAACAAAAAGTTGCAGTAACTTGTAATTTTCACATTTTTTATATGAATCAAGAAGAAAAATCAACTTTATTGTCATTACATTGTCACAAGTACAAAGCAACAAAATTCCCTCTACATTTAGGCTATCCCTTTGGGGAGCAGTGGGCTGCAACTTTGCTGCGCCCGGGGAGCAGTGTCGGGTTAAGGGATTTACTCAGAGACCTAAAGTGCAAGCTGTGGGGATTGAACCGGGTAGTGCAACCTTCTCAGAGAACAAGCACACTGCTCTTACCACTAGGCCAACGCTCCCTAGGCTAAGACCGTAGTGATTTGGAATCTTTCTTATAGAATCTGTTTAGGTATTTAGGGTGACATTTTTCTGTACAGAGAGGGTGTTTTGGGATAATTAAATTGGGGCTCTTTTTGATAAAAAAAAAAGTAATAATAAGAGCAGAATTGCAGTCTAAAGCAGAACAATATGCTTTTTGAAATGCAGACTTTTATTAATCCAAATAAGAAAGTTAATTTCTTTGTTTTTCAGTGTTATATTTTCCATTCTGTTTTATTTTTTTCACATATTATCTTTACTCGTCGTCTTATCTTTAGTTTTTCACTAAGCTAACAAATTACATAAAGTCAAACACAAACACTTCCTTTTTATCCTTTTTAAAAAAAGCACATTTTAAGAAAATGTGAAATTAACTTCTGAAAAGATAGCATCTACAAAAGTGAAAAGATGATTTTATTTTGTAAAGAAGTTCCACAAAAATTTTGAGAAATATATAGTCAGAAAGATGATAACATTAAATCAAAATCTCATAACAAGGATACCTTTTGTCTGAAGCAATTGGAGGTGATCATATCATACATGATCAAGAGAGGGCGCTGTTGCACTGCAGTGGAAGCATTTACCTCTGTGTAAGGGAGATCAAAATCTCCAATATCATTACAGCTCATAAAAAATGTCAAACAGCATTAAGAATGCCAAGGACAAATACTTGAGCTAATAACCCTGCATAATTATGAAGACGTGATGATGAAATGTTGGGAAATTGGACGTTAAGACATTCCATTCTGTTACTTTTAAAAATGAGCATGGTGTTGAGGTTTTAGGGAAGCGTGAAGGCTGAACAAGATGGATTCTGCTCAGAGCCATGATTTGTCAGGTTTTTAAAAGGGTTTTGGCATCACAACATTTGAACAATGTCTCATTATTGTATGACAAAGCTTGACAGATTGTTGTATTTTTTTTTTGGCTCGGCTGCTAGCCTCTTTGGGAATTTATTTTTCAACTAGAGGAGAAGCATTCCCTTGTATTTTATCATTTCTCTGACAGTGAACAGAGATGAAAAGCAAAGGAAGGAAGATGTAACGGCACACCATGAATTGTAAATATTTTACTGTTTTTGTCATTGGTTTTGAAAACAAAACATATGGTTCAGGTCTAAAGTATTATTGCATGAGTTGCATATTTGGAATTACTATAGATAATAAAGAATGGTGACACAAAGATAGCATATTTCAGGCTCATATTCTGCATTTTACAACACATATTGAAAAAGTAAAAAAAATAATCACACTACATTTGTTATTTCTATTATTTGGAGTTTAGTTTTTGCTATGCTGTCAAAACACAGCCTCAGCATTCAAAACAAAGCAGCCAGAACACTCCTCAGTTAAGATGCCTGAAAAGTTTTTGCCAGGATTTCTATGGTTTGTATGTCAAAACAGAACACTCCAAAAAAGAGTGAGAGTTTCAAACACAAAACAAGCATGCAAAAGCTTTTCACCACAGGAACTAAAGACAAGCGTCACAACAAACTGTCAACTGCGTAAGATTCTCTTGTCATGCCTGCTTAACTAAGCCTTTTAACATGGCATATTTGACACCTTACAAAGGGGAACGACGGCAAGCTAAAACTTCTCTCTCTGGCAAATTGATTGTACTGCAACACTTTCCGTCAAGCGGCTGACTTCAGCAACATATTTAGTATATCAAGCAGTTATTCAGCTCATTTCCCAGGTGAGCTTTGAGTAAAAAAAAAATTCACCTGAACTAGAAAGCAGGTTTGCATGAGCAAACTTTGGCCTTCTGGTGACACTGAGTGCGATGGAGTGTTTAGCTGAGCTTTTATGTGTCCAACACTGATACAAAGAATGGCAGTTGCTTTTCCTGTTTGATCAAAGGCAGCAGACAAGTAGAGAACATTTCTCCCTCCATCCCTCCCCCTGGAACCCTTTCTCTGTCTAATCATAGTTGAATACATTGTCATCTCATTATCTTTGAAGAGGGGAAAGATCCCTCCCGTATGAGTGGGCACTGTGTCTCTTGCCCTCAGCCGGACCCAAAAACTGGTGAAGCGCATTCTCGTCTCATTATGTTGAGTGAGAGATATCAGACACGTCCCATCTGCCCAACGCCCTCCACACACATGCTCTGGTACCGCCGCCATACAAGCTGGAACTGTTGATCTGTAGCTCTGTAACGCAGCAATGAGACCAAAAATCGAGGCGGGTTTGGACACTGAAGTTAACGACATTAGTGCTTGGTTAAATATCTCTGCCACAAGCAACAGTCCTTACTACAGACCTACCTTTGATTAGAGTAGTTCAAGCTCAACAAGAAAGCACAAAAAACCTTGACTATTTAACTCACTTGTTGAATTGTATAACATTGCTTAATAAGCAGAAATACATAAAACAGGGATATTCGGTCGATGACAGATCTTTTGTTTTTAAAAAGCTGCATGCATATACCGATTTTAGACAAAATGCAACTTCTCCTCATTAAATTTGATAAACATAACACATTCTTTAGCCATCCTTTTATAAAGCAGTCATTATATATTACAGACATAATTAGTGTGGAATGTTGGAAAGCAGTTACTGTTAAACAGTGACTTATTATGATTTTTTTTAAAACAAAGACAAAATGATTTGGGTCAACATCTAAACCTATCTTTAGGATCTATAGCTGTCATCAGCAAGGCTAACATTTTTCTGTGTGCGAATTGAGATCCTTATAATGATTTGGAGATTTTCAACATTTCTAAATGTGACTTTTCCAAGACAGACCAAACTGTAAAAGATAAATCATCTAACCTCTTTTTGTTTAGATTAGGTTGCTTAC